TTTACTACAGTCCAAAGTTACTCCTCACTTACTTTATCCATTCTGAGCATAATTATTCACCGCAATGATTTTATAAGCACTTTACATAACTATTAGAGACCAGAGCGGCGTTCTGTCATCACGATAATGCACCGACTAGCATGCAAACAGCACACAGCAGACTTATTTTACAATATAGCTGTACTTGAGTAAGGCAAAATTAATTCAAATAACTGGGGAAAAAATCAGGTACAGGCCCTTTAAGCTTCTGTAATAATCATACATTTTTGCACCTCCGCCCCCACCCCCTCTCCCTGGATGTCGTACCCGGGGAAGAGGGTCCGTGCGTGGGCAGGTGGGTCATCGTGTTCTGCCTCAGCTCCCTCCGCTCCACAGTGTCACAACAGCAGCCATTATAACCTCCCAGACAAAGGTATCTGTATTGTGATGCTTTTAAAAGGAGGAGGAATGTGTCCGCCGAACCGGAAAACTACCACCCTGCCCGCGTGTCCTTGGGCAAGGCGTGATTATCCGACTGACCCCAGGGCTGAACTCGCTGCATAAAGTTACATTGTGTGGAGACAATAAGGAGCTTTGTTTCGGCTTTTAACCCACAATTATGAAAAGAATATTATTGTTATATTAAATGAACAGCCATTTCAAAATAAGACGGGGGCGTGTTTAGCTGTTTCTTTATGGTGAAAATGGTGGCTAATATAATGAGACGGAGACATGAGTGAGTTCATATTAGTTGCAATGTTACAGAGTGTAGCATTAAACTTATCTCTAAGGCAATAAACAGGTAGCCTGATTCATCAGCCGGTTTCACTTTGTAGAAACTGTCTGACCTTACAGTATTAGGATTTGTTCGCTCAAAGGTAGGAGGGTAATTTTTTTAAATTTATTTTATTTATTTATTTATAAGGGAAGCCCCTTGAGATGTAGCATCTCGTTTGCGAGTGGGTCCTAATACATTAGCAAAAGCAGCATTTACAGAAGAGAAAGAAAAAAACAAATCAAAACAGAACAAAAGACAAACAGACAAAGACAACATTCACACAACACACAGACAGCATTCATACTATACAGTCCAGGATCCTAAGGTATACATACATCTCTCTGATTTTATCATCATCACGCCTATATTTGTAAATGAGTGAAAAAAGCAACTCTGTGTACAACAGAAAGTACATAGAACAAAAATGTATTTTTATCGAAAACAGGAGCAGGATGTTTATAAGTATCTGAAGACTGACGCCTTAAACTGGTGGATTTAACCAATCACTGCTGTTTGGTCATGACATATGTAATGTGTCAAATCCTGTAGGAAAAAGGGCAATAATGTCTTTCCCTTTGATAAAATTCACCAAACATTCTCTTTGTTCCGGCTTTAAATCCTTGATCTTGGGAATCGTTGCCAACACAGAATGTCTGTCTTCATCTATATCCATCTCGACCACTTTGTTTACTGTTGTGCTGTACCACAAAAGGGACCCAGACAGACGCTTGAGTTTGACGTCATGGCTTCACAGCTCTTCACTGATTGGCTGGTGTGAGGTCTACAACTTCTGGGGTTCTTGCAAACTGTCTAGTGTAGCTATTCTGATTTCTGACCTAGTCGCTGGAGAGAAATTAAATTGAATGGAGTCACTAGGTGGCGCCAGCCTGGCTAATAAACAGGTCTCCAATAGGAAAAGTTAGAAGTCAGGTCTGTGGAGAGGTGACCCCGCTTACAGTAAGAATGCACATTTTTCAATGTATATCTAGCCATAACAACACATTTAAATGCATAAATGAAAGCTTAATGCCATACTGTGAAACATTCCAAATTACGGCAATAACTCCTCAATGGAAATAACGAGCAGGTGGTGTCTACTTCACCAGAAAAGTTATGTAACTTAAAATATCAGCTTTGGTGAAAGAATAAAAGCAAGTGGCTTCACAACAAACTAGAATTTCTATAGTTTAAACTGAGCTAGAAGACAGAGCAGAAGTATATGGTGGATTTGTGGTTTAACTGTCAGATTGCAGATTTGTTGACCAGGTTTATAGTTAATATCTGTGAAATTACTCATGAAACAAAAACTAACACAATGTTCAATGTCTTCTCAGTCAGTATAAATAAACAAAAGTGAAATTATTAAAAAAAAAAACTGGTCTTTATTCAACCCCAAAGACGTGATCGTCGTCAGTTGAAATGATAAAAAGATTAATGTGGCAAAATAGTGGAGCCCATTCCAAATAAATAATGATAAAGTTCAACATGTGGATAATAAGTTTGGATATTTCATTCAAAAGCAGTGAATCTCCCATATATATTTCAGATGAGGTCCTTACCCTTGATCTGAAATTACGACATCATCAAATTCTGAAACATGAATCTAACCTACTCAAGATGTAAATTGTGTATGTAATTGTTGTACATATTGTGCATTCTAAAAAGTACAATTTGCCCTAAACATCAGCCTTCGAACTGCAGAGATAAAAGCCCTCCTTCCCTCCTCTTTCTCTTCTCCTGCTGTGAGTGACCACCTCCCATGGGACCAATAGGAGACCTGCGTGGGAGTCTCAGACCTGGCTCACCCCGGATCTAAACCCCAAACAAGACCAGCTGGACCCCCCCAAACAACAAGCCTTTGTCTGAGAGAGAGAGAGACAGAGATAGGAAGGGAGGAGGAGAGGAATGGGAGAGTACTGCACGCTGGGATCAACCTGAACAATTAAAAAGATAAGAAAGTTAAGACTGCATTCATTGGTGCACTTTGAAATGAAGATGGTTTCAAACAACAAGGAAGCAAGAGTCAAATTTAGAATCACAAGTACAGAATTTTGTAGTAATGTCACAAGTAACAGTAGTAGTTTTAGTAGTAGGAGTAGTTGAAGTAGCCGTAGAAGCCAAAAGTACATGTCTAAATATGGCAAAATATTACTAAAAACACTTGACCTGATTTTTGCTGTTCATTTTTCAGTTTGCAAAATGTGCAGTTTGTGTCCATTGACCTTCTAAGATGATTCTTTAGAGGATAACAGCGATGTAGAAGTTTGTAACAGATTTCCCTTTGCTTTTTGGTGATTAGATATTTCTGAGGTCATGTCTAAACATTTTTCCATGGAATATTGTCAATAGAGTCGGGCTGCTGACAGTAGAGCTCCGTTTGGGAGGTGCACTTGTGGTGATAGTCACTCTTTCTCCGCGGCGACTCATTACAAGACAAGTTTAATTGAAGATGAAGCCAATTAAGTTCCTTTTGAAAAGTTTGTCAAAGTTTGGTGCGGCGTCTTCACTCACGCTGCTCAAGCCGCCATCTTCAGGTGCCAACCCTGTCCTGCCGCTTCCCCAGTTTAGGCTCCTGGCTCCACTAATGACATCACCCTGTTGCAGCCAATGAAATAGCGGCAGGTGTAACCCTGTCGTCACATCACTGAATACATCTCAGAACGTCTAATAAACAAAATGTGAACTAAAACGTGTTCAATTTAATACTATAGAGTTTGGAAAAATATCAGAATAAATGTATATTTTTATTCATTAAAATAAAATGGCAAATATTGCGAGGGACTATTTTGTCTTTCACAAATATTGGTTGTGACATGTCCCCACTGTCCCTAAGCAAACCTACACCCTTGCTAATTATTTTTCATGATGAGTTTATAAGCGCTTTTCACAACTCTTAGAGACCAGTGCCAAGTCCTGGTGTGAAGGTAAATCTAACATCTAGCATGCTAACACACACTTCCACATACGTAGACACAAAAAGATTTCTATTTAAATGCATCTGTACTGAAGCAAGACACATGTTACACAAATACATGGGAAAACATCTGGTACAGGCCCTTTAAATATTTCTTATGCAAGTAGAATTGATATGTATTCAAATCTTGCCACATTGCACCAGTCATTATATTTCACACGTGTTTAATGTGCTGATTTTGCTTCATAAAGTGACATTTTTTTCTCCATTTCAGCCTTGCCAGCTTGATGGATGTCTGCGAGTGCACGTGTCATCATAAAACCCCATAAAACCCGTGTAATATCACAATAACAGAAGGTGACAATAATGTAAAGCTGCTATACACTGAGGCGGGCTTTGTCAATCTACTAAAGTGCAATCGCGTGTAATGTTACAGCGGGGTCACGCTCGCACTTGTCCTTAATACAATCTATGCACCGGGACAGCCAGAAACGCGTGCGCTCGTGTCCGCTAGGTGGCGACGTTGCTCCGGGGACTGTCACCTCGGCTGTGCGCGCGAGTTGAAGTGGTGGTTCGTGCAGGCTCAGCACAATGTGACTTTTGGAGCGAGGACAGAGGACAAAACTGACGCATGTGATCGCATTGTTTGGCGAGAAACGTAAAAAATGACGACTCTGAGCTATAAATTTGACGCGATGAAGCCCTAATGTGTTTTTGTTTGCACGCATTTATTATTAGGTCAAGGTTACTGGACATTGGCATGGATAAAGTTAGAATCCTTTTGTTTGGTTTTGGCTTGGTTTTGCCCTCGCAAAGCTTATATATTCAAGTTTTTGGTATGAAATTGTAGCTTTGAACAGGTCAGAATCAGGCAAATACGACCAGATAAAAGGAATTTGTGTTTTTTTTAGCCATGTCAAAATCATAAATATTATACCAATGACAGGTTTCAATATGTACAATGTGCGTTTATTTCTGCGTGAGATTTTGGTTACATTTGGCTGAGGATTACGCACGGGTCCAGCAAATGGCCCGAGCGTGCGCCCCTGCCACTAACTTGTTTATTGTGATGGTTGAGGAGGGGGGTTGTTAACGATTACTGCCCCACTCCTCCTGCCCCTCTGTCTTTCTTTCTTTCTTTCTTTCTTTACCAGTGCGTTTCCTATATGGAAGTCCGGACTCCCCACACTACCACCAGCACCGCCGCCGCCGCCACCACACGCTCGCTTCTTTTAGTCCCCGCCTCCAAAGCTCCACTGCTCCGCGAGCTCTGTGTCTCGCGGTCCGTTCGCCACAGTCAGACCGATATTCCACTGGGAAGGACGCACACGTACGGACGCACACACACACACGCGGAGAGAGAAAGCGAGCGAGCCTGCGGAGTGCGCGAGGGGAGAGAGGGAATGAGAGAGAGAGACCTGTAAGAACAAGCGACTATAGAGACGAAAACGAGGACTAAAAAACGGACCCAAATGGCACCCATGGATTCTAGGATTGCCTTCGATGTTCTCGTTTTGGGAATTTTTACACTTGTGTCTTCAGCGAGGATATACCCCCCGAATGAAGGTAGGCTAAGGGCAGCGGGACACGCAAACTGCTCCAGGACTTTTTGGGGCTTGCTTCGTGCGTTTTCAGTGTCAGTGCTTCTTCATTAAGCTGTGTACGAAAGGGAACTCCAAGTTGAAATTGTAAAAGACACGGATTGGCACAATTACGCACTGAAGGTTATCGGGATTTCGGGTGCGCGGAGTCGTACGCTGCATACAGATCTCTGTTCCAAGCGTCAACTGTGGAGACTTAACGCGAAACGGCGAAGTAACATCGCGCACTACACTTCTGGTTTCTAACTCTCATCCAGTTGCATATTTTGAGACGAAGTTTGATACTGAATTGGCGCAAAAAAGTAGCGCATATCCAGTTGTATTTCACACTTGTTCTAAACATCAAGCCAAGCGCGTTTCAGTGTCCAGTGAAAGTAGGGACACTGACGGATCAGCTCTGCTCAAATCTGTTTTTACGCATTGGTTCAGTTTTACAATAAGGCTGTTTTACAAAGTATTTTCAAGTAAACGTTTCATGGCACCAACTAAAGTAACATCACAGTGTCATAAAATATTAATTATCAAACTGGCTGTCTAGTTATAGATAGATTTGACTCCCAGTGGTTTCTGAAATTGTATTGTAATTGCAGAAATTGTTGCAAAGTGTACATTGTTTTTGAACAAGCACTCCAGACGTTTATGCGTTAGACAATACGGATAGACTTTTTACTGGTAGATACAAGGCTACTCGCAGGGCCTGGTACAGACAGTTCCAAATGTGGTGCAAAAAATGTTAAAGCAACTTACGTTTAATGCTTGAACTTTGGATTTAACTTCGCAATTTAACAAAAAAACTAAGAACGACACAAAACGCGTGCCAAAAATGCTCCAGGGACTTGTTTACATTACTAATCGTTAACATTAATTATCACCACATGCATTCATGTTTCTTAATTAACAACCAATAGCGCATATCTATCAAATTAATTACAATTTCATGACAAGACCTTCAAATTGTGTGTAATTATGTTAAATTGTCTATGCAAATTCCGTTCTGCACTTTCGGCTCAGTTTTTTTCTATACGCGTTTGTGTGTGATCTGCATCCTACACCTACACTGGTTTATTTAGTTTTTGTTTTATATTTAATTTCATTTTTATCATTTTGAAATTTCTTTTACCGTTTTGTTTAAATTCAGATATAATAGTTTGTCACTCCATGTTAAAATATCCGCAAGAGCAGCTACGTCGTGAATCAGTTTTGCGCGTAAAACACACGACTTCATAACAAATGCGTTTGGATGTAGACATCAAAAACCGTGCCATTTATCAAGGGCATTCTGTGCCAGGACTGCGCAGACGCCCGGCTAATTGATTTGATCACATCCAACATGTTACACATCTGACGCTTGGCCAAGAGAGGGAGAAAAAAATCATTTACATTTTAAAAACACGGGGGAATTCTTATGTCAACGTACTCGATCCATTCAAACGGCTTAAGCTGGACAAATATTTACTCTCGCGCGATCTATAAATCTCGTTGCACAGTATTTTTCCACCTTGATTGATAACCGTAATTTGTTTCACTTATTTCATACTTTACGCACGTGTATTTTAGCTTTTAGTGCGCATTTTGTACTCACGCACGCTCACGTTTCTCTTTCTTGCTTTCCAGTCACGTTATTGGACTCCAGATCGGTGCAGGGGGAGCTGGGATGGGTCGCCAATCCGACAGAAGGAGGGGTAAGTACGGCAGAGAAGCGATATAATGTGCCCTTGTTAGTAACGCACGCTCCGCCATTGACCCAAAAATGGATAGATATTATCACTTAAGTGGCGCGGACTCCGGACAGGGGCCTCGCGCAGATACACTGAGCGCCTTTGATGTGTTTTGTCCCTTCTAGGCTTCTGTGGGAATAGTTTGGTGATGACTTATTGATTGGTTGGGATGACACTCCAGGGGAAATTAAAGCCAGAGTTATAGAATTGTATGGAATAGAATTGAGCTCAGCAGACTAGACTGCCCACCCCAAGGTCCCGGAAGTACATTTCTGATACATTTTTTCATAGATTTTCCAATAAATAAATAAATAAAAATAAAATGAGTCTGAAAACTTGAAAACTCAGGGTTAACTATGACCACAAGACCTTTCTGAAACTTTATAAACTGCTAAATTATCAAAATGTTTCACCAAATATTGCATTTTAAATTTGCTTTTTGGACATTAAAACAACCAAATTAGTCACCACAAAGCTAGTTGGCCTTCAAGATGTCTTTGAACTTTTCATATTTGAATTTTTCGAAATGTCAGTGGGAAAAATTTATGGAAATTTGACTTTTGGAACCAGAGCTGGTGATCACTGTTGAGCTCCGTAGACCACTTTGAGCAGTATATCTGAACTAGCTCCTAACTTGTGGTGTGGTGGTACATTTGGCGCTTGCTTCAGGAGGCATTTTTGGTTTATTTATCGCTCTATATTTTGAAACTCCGAGGGTTTTTCAAGTTTGGAGCTGGTTTGGACCAGTTTGAATCAGATAAAATCCAAATATTCAGTTCATGGTTTAGATCTGGTTTAGCTCTGGTTTAGACTTGTTTTGGCCACTTCATATTGGGCGTATTCACTTTTGTGTTTAGTCCTGGTTTAATTTTGATGTGGTTTGGTCTTGTTCTAGTCCTGGTTCTGCCCTGATCTGGTTTTGGTTTAATTCCAGGTTTAGTCACAGTTTAGTGCCAATTTAAACGTTCATTGTCAGTACTGCACCGATGTTAATTTGGCATTTGTGTGTAAAGCATGAACGCGCCCTTACTCCATATTAAGTCCTGGTTTAGTCATGTTTAAGTGTCTGTCGTGTTTAAGTGTCTATGTTAAATATTTTGATCTGAGTTAAACCTGGGCCGGACCTGGTTTCGTCTTGGTTTACATCTCGTTGGGTGTGTTTTACTCCTACTCTTTAATTCCAAGTCATTGCTGTTTTAGCCCCTATTATCTATACTATGCAGTGATGGCGGTGTACAGCAAAGGAGATTACACTGCTCTATTATGGATTAGTAGTCAAAACAGGGCTGTGGGTGTCTAAAAATAATTTCTGTTGAGATTATTTCAGCAGTAAAAAGTATAGGCAATGGTTATCCAGGCCAATCCAACTTTATTTGTTTAACACATTTTATAAACAAGTTTCCAAAGTGCTTAAACTTTTAATTCTTTGAAAAGTCAGCAGAATTATGTTCCGGACAATTTTATTTAGAGCATTCAACAATTTACTACCAAGTAATCTTCAAAGCTTGTTCAAAATGAAAGAGAGAAGTTATCATTTCAGAGGGTATGGAAATTTCAAATTGCCCAATGTTCGAATTACCCGTAAAAGTTTCTGTGTGACTGTATGTGGCGTAAAACTCTGGAACAGTCTGGATACACGTCTCAAGCAATGCCAAAATATCCATAAATTTAAGCTGTTATATAAACATATGGTCTGGTCACAGTATATAGAGAGAGGGTCTTAATTTTAGAACAAAACTTCCTTCTGTAGAGGCTGGTTTATGCTTGTTGTTTCCACACCATTGTTGGTATGTTCTGTCAGTTACCTTTGTTGGTATCTTTAATTTTCCTTTCCATTGTTGAAATCCTTATGTATTTTTGCAGTACAGTTACGTTACCAAACTATAACAGTGACTCTTTGTCCGCACTTGTAAATAGTTCATACAGTTAAATGTAAAATATCAAAAAAATTCGAAAGAAAGCCCATTGTGTTAGATTAGAAGAGGGGCGATATTAAATACATTTTCTTCTTCCCACTCCTTTTTGGGCCAATTTTTAATTTTTTGTTGTTATTTCCGCTATGATTTCATTAATATTATATGTTCCATTGCAGAAGAATGTACATTTCTTACTTGACCAAAATAAATGCTTAAATCAATCAATTAATCAAAAAGGAACTAATAAAAACAATAGATTAAAAAAAACAACAACAATAAATAGAAGCCGTACAAAAAATAATAGCATTTATAAGAACAATAAAATAAATAAATAAAAGACACAGTGGACCAAACAACTCATGCAGTGTTAAAAGTCAGAGAATAAAAATAAGTGTTAAGATGAGCCACTCCACTTTGGTGCGTTCCAAAGTTCAGTAATAGTATGTTAGTTTTAATTTCGAATCATGTATTTTTGGGGAAAAAAATCTCAAACTCGGGCCAAAGATATCAGCAGAGTAGAACAATCAATTTCAGCATCGGCCATAAAAAAAACACATCGGTTAAAAGTTAGACTCGGTTCAGAATGCACATTATAAACTACTTTCACAACATCTTTCTAAAGGTCTAAACTAGAGGTACATTTTCTTATTAAAAAAAAAAAGTCACAATATTTAGTTTTTTTTCTTTACCGAGGACTTCAAAAATCAAAATAATGTGTGATCTGATAAATGCGCCAGCTCAGACTGCAGTTTTGTTTCTACTGCAGTAAATCGTGCAGTAGTACCCATGATGCACAGCCGTCTCCCACATACCTGTAGCCGGCAGCACCTCTGGCCCCTCGCTCCCCTCCCTCCCTCCCTCCCTCCCACAGCCCCATCACGGCCAGATCCCCAAAAGCGATACAGAGGAGGGCGTAGGGTTTCCTGAATACTGCCCGCTTTGAATCGCTCTTTGTGGTGAAACTTTATATCCTTTTCCACCATTGAATCGAGCGGGGGAGCGAGGGAAGACTTGGCACAGGGGAGGTACGGAGGGATGAATGAGGAGAGAGAGAAAGAGGGGGAGAAGAGAGCGCGGGGCAGATGGGTGCACAGCTCACCCCAGGGCCCGGGACGAGACCGTGATCAGGACCAGGACTGGAACAGGGTCTAAGGTATCAGGGAGAGAGTGAGGTTTAACTAAAGTCTGTAGACAAAGTAGAACCCGCTGATATCAACTTATCGTTCAATGCGAAACAGATGGATCAGATTTTTGAGGGTCTGTATTTATCGTGGGTACTTTTCTTTGTACTAATAGGAATGTTTTGGTTAATTTTCTGTACCACGATGAGATTTGAGCACTAAAATGCTAAATTATGAACTTCTATCACACATTATAGATATACATTTGCTTCCTATTATTTATTTATCGTGATAATTTGGCTTTATGGTTACGTTTCAGTATTATTATTATTATGTATAGTTACTTCACTTTATTATCGTGACAGGGCTAAATAGTATGGGTAAACTTTTGTCATTTAATTCATAGACAAAACTACTATGGATGTAACGATATCCAAATCTCGTTACGATATTATGACGATATGCATCTCAAGGTACGATATTTAATGCGATATTTTGAAGAGGCTGATATAATTGCAGAAAGGACACTCTTTTGCTTTTAAAAGACCCTGACAAGCTGTGTTTTGGTGTGAATTATTTCCTTCATAATCCCAAGAATTCAAGTCAAAAACATATTTCTTCATGTTGTTTGCACTGAAATGAATCATGGGATATGTAGTTCCCTATGTTTATAAGCTGTTTCTACTACAAAACCATACATTTAAGCAAAGGAACTTGTAATTCGATAAATTGTGATGGCCCACGATATTATTGTGAGACTTTTGATGATACAATATCACGATATTTCGGTTATTGTTAGATCCTTAAAAACTACCATTTTAAAAATTATTGATAACTGGATAGATAAAATTTTCTGCTTTCTTAAATTTAAACGTAATAGCTACTGGGTGAGCAGTTTTTATGCAGATTGAGACAGGATATTTAGTTTGTGGAAGAAAAATTGCAGCCTTTGCGATTTGCTAATTGTTCCTGTTCAAATTGCGATTTTGATTCTGCTGCAATCTTGTCTCGATATTAAAATTTCAGACTTGATTTTGAGACTAAGAAATAGACTCAACGATAATAAAAACACTTTTTAGACAATATAATATGATTTTTAACACTAATTTGCAGTATTTTCTTTAGCATGTAGCCTTATATCTGAGTAATCCACACACTTGGGCATGTATTAGTCCAGGAGTCTTCAACCTTTTTCCTACTAGTTTTTTTTTTCTGAGCTACTTTTTGTAAAATGAAAATGCCATAAAGCTACTAAGTTTAGCAGTCGCCAGAAATTGTGTAACTACAAGAGCCATGGCAAGCCGTAGATGGAGTACAGTCCTTATAAAACATAAACCATTATCCATTTATCTGTGCACAAATATAGGCATCAAAATGATTTACAGTGGAAATAGAACTCAAATTTGAGTTATTGAGTTATGCGGTATACGTATAATTCAGTGATCCCTTGGAGAGGGTGAGGAGAGCTACCGGTAGCAGCTGGACTACAGGTTGGAGACCCCTGTACTAGTCTATGTGCTCTTAGGCTACGTTTACATGATGCCGGTCTGAATAGAAGACGCAAAAGTGGTGTCGCGTCTTCACTTTTAATTCTGAGTTTAGACAAGCGTTTTCGGGAGGAAGTCTACGAGCATATGGTAACGCAAAATTGTGTGGAATTCGATTAGGCATGCATGCCAGGCGGCTAGGTGGTGCTGTGATACACTATCATGTCACATACGAGATGTGAACCAATCTGACCAGAGTTTTGCGTCTTGGGCAGTGTAGACGGAAACACTACGGCGGAGCGTATTCAACTTTTCAACCACTCTGGAGGGCGGTTTCAGTTTTTTGCATTTTTAAGCCCCAGAAACGATGTACCTGTCTAAACGAAAGACAGTTCCGATAAAATATTTTGTTGTTTTTACCCGCAAGCTTTCTCGAGTAAACAGGCCCTTATACTCAAGATCATATTTCTGTCCTGTGAATATGACTTTTTTTTTAGTATCAATACCTGCTCAAATGAGTATGTAGTTTCGTTATTTGCTTTAGTATCGATTAGTATCTGATTTTCGATACTTTTAACAACAGCGCTCATTCTTCCAGTTGTATCCGAGGTGAGCAGACTTCCTTTGTAGCAGCTGTGATTTGGCCCTCTCCGGCTGAACTTGGCCGGTATTCAAGCTCAGGGTTTTATCAGGGAGCCGTTTGATTGACAGGGTCCTGGCAGCGTACGGCGTCTCATTCACCCTCTCATTACCACCAATTGGCCCCATATTCCGCCCGCTCTTTGCTATCGCGGAAAGGTACGCTAGCTAGCCTTATCTCGCTTATTTCCACAACAAAAGGCCGAGCGGGAGAGGAGCGGCGGGCGGTGATAGACGCTAGCTTAAATTGTACAGCTGCGGCTATGTTTAGCGTTCGAGTAGCCAGCCCTCCTCTTGGGAAATGAGCCCTAAAGAAGATCGTCCATGATAAGACGTCAAATCAAATGTGGAGGAACTATAGCTCTTTCTATGCATTAAAAACAGACTTTGTGTAGTATTGCCGTAGGGTTGACGTATTTGTATTGGTGCCATTTTTTATTTTTTTGGTAACTTTTTGGTTGGGGTTCATCGTCTTGGTTCTGTGGATGCGTCATTGCATTTGCTGGCATGTTTCCCTTCAGCACTTACTCACCTGAAGTTGAATTTGGAGTGATTCATGCATGTTTGAGCAATCTTTAATCACTTCAAGACGCCAATTTTCCGATCAACTCCCTTTTCCACTGCCACCGACACACACCCACTGTTCTGTTAACTTCATCCTCCAATTTAATTTCCTAAATCGGTGCTAACTGTAGGATTTTGGCAGTGTTGCTTAGTCATTTTTGTACAAAACGCTTTGTTGTGATGACTTTTACGGCAACGTCAGCTCCCATTGCGCACCTCGGTTTTCTAAAACAGATGTCAGTGGACTTATTTTTTTGATTAAGTCATTTTAGATGAATATCGTAATTTAAAACGTCCAAATTATAACACAGTGATCCAAGGATGTCATCATTTATAACAACACAGCAGACAGAAGCACAACAGATCTTCTGGAAAGGTGTGTTGTGTAACATTTCTGATGGAGATCTTATTGCTTTGTCTGGACAGTTCCACAGTATGATATTAAACATTTCTATCATCATGGAGATCAAACTAGACCAAGCTGTAGGTAGGGATGTGCAAAAAAATTGAAATATCAATATATCCTAATGCTTAATGTGATGATACAGTATCGATATCATGGGCTGCTGTATCGATATATTGCTAGGAGTATTTTTTGGTCTATTTTACTCAATTATTTTGTTACAATGCTACACGAGATGTGTGAAGAATCCCTCAGTCGTCCAGGTAGAATCCATGGCGAAGAGAAAATTCAGTTTGTCGACTGGACAAAAGTTAGTTTGGTTGAAGACGTTTCGCAGCTCATCCAAGTTGCTTCTTCAGTTCTGAATAACTGAACTGAAGAACTGAAGAAGCAACTTGGATGAGCTGCGAAACGTCTTCAACCAAACTAACTTTTGTCCAGTCGACAAACTGAATTTTCTCCTCCCCTTACAGCGCTACAGTTTTCTTGCTTATTTAGAGGAAGGAAACTCGTTACATATCAACATATTTGACATTTTCACAGTTTTGATGAGTAAAATCATTGTGTTTCTTATAAACTTGGCACAAGAAGTGGTTTAAAAAAGACTTATTATCACAGCCATTATTTAGCAGTTTACCATTATTTTCGATCGAATCAACTTGAAATATATCGTATCAAATCGAAAGTGCACTGTTTTGAGATATGTATCGTATCGTGGACTATGCATCAAGGTATGTATTGTATTGGCAACTTGACAAAACGAAAAATTCAATTTGTCAACTGGACAAAAGTTTATTTGGTCGACCAAATTGAATTTCTCCTTTTGCCATGGATTCTACCTGGATGACTGAGGGAGTTTTCAAGTATCGGCAATTCTCCAGCATTCTTAATGATACCCAGCCCTAGTTGTAGGTCAGATCTGCAGGGATTGAGAGAGTTTTTCTAGGTATTTTCGAGCTGTAGAACATGAATACATATAAGGTGAAACTGCTTAATGTCATACCCCAGAACATTCCAGGCAGAGCAATGACATTTCCATGGAAACAAGCAAGTGACAGACCCCCAATCAAAACCTTACACAGTGCCCCTTTAAATAAATGAAATCTAATCGCATTTCTTTATTTTCTTTCCACAGTGGGAGGAGGTGAGCATTATGGACGAGAAGAACATTCCCATCAGAACGTACCAGGTCTGCAACGTCATGGAGCCCAACCAGAACAACTGGCTTCGCACAGACTGGATCCCACGCGGAGGAGCCCAGCGCGTTTACATCGAGATCAAATTCACTCTACGGGATTGCAACAGTCTCCCTGGCGTCATGGGAACGTGCAAAGAAACGTTCAACCTCTACTACTACGAATCCAACAACGACAAGGAGCGCTACATCCGAGAAAATCAGTTCGGGAAGATCGATACTATCGCGGCGGATGAGAGCTTCACTCAAGTCGACATCGGCGATCGGATCATGAAACTAAACACGGAAGTTCGAGATGTTGGCGCGTTGACGAGGAAAGGTTTTTATTTAGCTTTCCAGGATGTTGGAGCGTGCATCGCGTTGGTTTCCGTGCGAGTGTTCTACAAAAAATGTCCGCTAGCCGTGCGAAATCTAGCCCAGTTTCCTGACACGATCACGGGGGCGGATACGTCGTCCCTTGTGGAAGTTCGTGGATCTTGTGTGGATAATTCGGAGGAGAAAGAAGTTCCCAAAATGTACTGTGGGGCTGACGGAGAGTGGCTGGTGCCCATTGGGAACTGCCTCTGCAATCCCGGATATGAGGAACGCAACACGGAATGCCAAGGTAAATCCAATATTATCTCTCTGTCTATCTACCTGAATGATACACTGAATAAGACTTTAAAGGTGCACTATGTAACTTTTCTGGTAGGAGAATCTGCTACCTCAGTCTACTTCAAGATGTCATTACTTTTCTCTGAATGTTCCACAGTACGGCATTCACTTATATCATTTATATTTTTAATTCCTAAAAAACTTGTACCTTGGCCTGGTGCTGTCATGGATACGTTCTTCAACAGAAAAGTTACATAGTGCATCTTTTAGTATATGCTGATGAGTTATGTGTTGTTATATTTTTAGTTGCTGTCGTTTTTTTTGTTTTTGCATTTGTTTTGAATAGTCTAATTCTTTAGTTTTGATTGAGTTTCACTAACCAACGGTATGCAGACTTCCTTTTAGTAGTTTGATGGAATTTTTTGCAAGTCTTGATTCAGTTCTGGTTTCTGGATCAAGCCCTTGTTGAGTCTGACTTTGGACTTGGGCTACGTTTATATGTTGACGGTCTGAACAGAAGACGCAAAAGTGGTGTCGCGTCTTCACTTTTTATTACGCGTTTAGACGAGCGTTTTTGTGAGGAAATCTGCGTGCATACAGTGACGCAAAAGTGTGTGGAATTCGATTGGGTATGCATGCCAGGCGGCTACGTGGTGATGACACGTGTTGATGTATGTGACGTAAACGCTTTCGCGACGTGAGCGGATCTGACCAGAGTTTTGCATCTTGGGCAGTGTAGACGGAAACCTTACAGCGGAGCATATTTAACTTTTCCACTCTGGAGGGAGGTTTCAGATTTTTACGTTTTTAAGCCCCAAAAACGCTATCACCATCTAAATGAAAGGCAGTTCCTCTAAAATATTTTGCCAGGCCCTTGGTTTAAACTTGGTTTGGTTTTGGTTTAGTCTTGGTGTGGACCTTGTTTAGTTCCATTTGTTTCCAATTGTATTAAGTTGTGGTTGTCTTTTATTTAAGAACTTGTTTAATCCTGTTGTTTGGATGTTTTTGTAATAGTTTAAAGGCCCTGCACCCGATTTTTTTTCCCATGTATTTGAGTTTTTGCCCAGTACATATTTTGCAAAAGCAGCTCTTGCCTCTCTTTGTCCACATTTGCACTGTTCGCATGCTAGTTGTTGTTAGTTTTAAACCCCACTCTGCATTCGCTTACAGCTACGAAAAGTCCTTATAAACTCAGTGCGGCGAAAAATTAACTACAACTTGGGACCACTGCAAACCGTTTAAAATGCAGTCGTTCTGTTTTTATGTTTTCAATACAGTAAAAATCAGGTACAGCTCCTTTAACACCCCGCTGACTTTTATTGTTACCTCGTCCTTTCCTCCATTTTTGTCCTCCATCTCCTCTTTCTCTCGCACTCTCTCTCTCTTCCTCCTCCTGTTGTTCGTATCCATTCCAGCTCCTACCTGTGCGATAAAAGCCGTGATGATTGTAAATAGAGTAATTAGCAGACCCACTGGGAGGCGTTGTGCAATGGGGCGCATCCCCGGAGAATTTGGTCACACGTCAAATCGCGCACTAAAAAAACTGGCTACCCACGGCACTAGCTGATTGCCTGCTCTCCCAGCCCGCTCCTTTGTCTTGTTCTGGCGATGGGAGATAGACAGTTTTGGAGGACATAGAGAGGGGAGAATTGGTTTATCATTCAGGGCAGGTTCCGGAGCAGTGGAAGCACACACCAGGGAGATTGTGGGATTTGAAAAAACAGGGATAACCCGAGATTTTTATATAGTCCATTTTTTGTTCAGCTCTGTTTTCTAGAAATGTCTCGATATGATGAGGTTTGAAGGTCATTGCACAGAGCAGCTTTCTGAATTTGTCGAATCGAAATTGAGTTGCAAGTATTACAGGACTGCAAAAAGTCAATTTCTAATCTCTTTGATAAACAACTTTGTGGCCGGTTGTTTCTCAAGAATATGGGATGTATAACAATAGTGGTGCTTGGTCTATATTTGGATCTATTTTTATTCCTAGTTTAGTTCGATATGTTTTATTGACTTGGTTTAGATCTTGGCTTAGTCCAGTTTTGAATTAAACCTTGCATCAACATTTTGCAATCTTGGTTAGAATTTGTGTTCTCACTAGGGGTGTGCAAAAATATCAAAAGCATCGTTTAATGTGGTGAAACAGTATCGATATTATGGGCTGCTGTATTAATATATCGCCAAGAGTATTTTATCACAAAATTATTTTGTTACAGTGCTACAGTTTTGTTGCTTGGCCAGGGGAAGGAAACTTGTTAATGCGACACATTTGACGTTTTCACTGTTTTGAGGATTAAAATGCTCAAGACTTTGCACAACAAGTGGTTTAACGAACATTTTTAGTATCACAGCCCTGATTTAGCCTTTATTTTTTATTGAACCGTATCAAATCGATTTGAAATATATCGTATTGAATTGTATCGAATCAAATGCACACTGTGTCAAGATATAGTGGCCTATGTATCGTGGTATGTATCATATCGGCAACTTCTGAATGATACCCAGCCCTATTTGTGACGATAACTCAGATTTACTAAGGAATAGATGTATTCAATACTGATAATACAATTCGGATACCACGATTAATTAAAAAAAAAAAAAAAACACTCTTCCTTTAGACAAAAGAATGTGATTTTCAACATTAAATCGTAGTATTTTCTTACCATGTGGCGTTATATCTGTCTAATCCCTCAGTCAAATTGGTTTTATTATGTGTGAAACAGTCAAGCGTGAGTGAGTGTGACTGTGTGTGTGTGTTTGTGTTTGTGTTGATTTTGTTGTTTTGATGCTTATTTGAATTTATGTCTCCTACTGTCTGCCCTACTGTATCTGTCTTTTGTTGTTGTATTTCTGAGGACCCAATGAAAACGAGATGGTGACACATCTCAATGGGCTTATCCTCCAAACAAATAAATTCAAATTCAGTGGTCCATAGACTAGACTGTGGTTCTGACACAGCGTAAAATTATTCTAAATCTATTCAGGAAAGGTTCATTTTTTTGTCTTGTGAATGTGACTTTTTTAGAATCAGTACCTGCTTGAATGGGTATTTAGTTTCGATACTACTTATAGAACCGATTAATATCAGATTTTGAATACTTTTGACAACCCTACTACGTTGTACTTCGAAATCTATACAGAAATATCTAAACCGTTGCTAATCACTAGTTTACCGTTTAACTAAATGGCCGCCCGTTGCTAACATGAATGCTCGTGGGACTCTTAACAAACGACGTAGGCTGGGCGGAGGATGAATGGCTGTGATTAGAAGGGGGCGGACCACCTTTAAAACACATCATTTACGAGCGCGCCTTTATCCCGCGGATAATAACACGACAAAAGTCCTCGTGATTTACTGGTACCGTTAGGCGGACGCAGGGTGGGCTTCCAATGACGACAAATGAGCACAGATGTTTTTTATGATAAGTTCTATATGAAATTGAGACAAAAATCACTGGTGTAAAATGTTTAGTGGTGGGCTGTATGTGGTCTGCATATGAAAACTGAAGTGGTTTATTCAAGGTCCGTTGTGTAACTTTTCTGGTGGAGGGTCCGTTAAATGTTTTTCTCCTTGAAGATGTGATTTGTTTGGAATGTTTCGCAGTACGGTATTAAACCTTTCTATCTTATTGTCAAGCTGCAAGTCAGATCTGTGGAGATGCGACCCCGCTCACAGTCAGAATGCCTGTTTTTCAAGGTATTTTTTAGCTATAAATCTGGCTGTATCTGTAATTCAATAAATGTAAAGTAGAACTGTTTAATGTCATATCCAAGGTAGAGCAGTGACATATCCATGGAAACAAGCAGGTGATGGACCCTAAATCAAAAAGTTTCATAATGCACCTTTAAAGAAATTCTAATATTAAAACTGCACTGTGTAACTTTTCTAGTGGGGTGTCCATCTACCACCTGCTTGTCTCCATGGCGATCTTATTGCTTGGCCTGGAATATTCCACAGTATACTATTAAACATACTGTATCTATATTGCATTTTTTCCCTATTTATTTTATTGCTCAAAAATACCTTGAAAAATGTGCATTCTTAAAGTGAGTTATGGTCGCCACTCCTTAGATCAGACCTGTAACTTGGCCTGGTGGTGTCACCGCTAGTCTCCATGGAGATGAATAAAAAAAAAAAAAAATGTATACATATGTATATGTATATGTATATAGATTAACCAACTTAGTTTCATAAAGGGTACAATTCAGGGGGAGTTTCCAGCCAGGGGCACTTTCCAGCTGATTTCCATGGAGATAAATGCATTTTTAAAAAGTTACATATTGTACCTTTAAGGTGTAAATAGTGTATTATAAGAAATCTTGCAGTTTAATATCTGCACTTTTCTGTTTGTCCAATCAGTTTTTATGTAGTATCTTAACCAAGAAATGTTTGCTTTTTAAAAAATTTTTTTAATATGATAAAATTATTTTTTTAAAGGTGCACTGTGCACCTTTTTGTTGTCACCTGCTTGTTTCTACCATAAATTTGTAAAATTATAGGTGTTTTACTGTTCAAAAACACTGTGAGCAGGGAATTGCTTCTCCACAGATCTGACCTGTAAGTTGGTCTGGTTTAGTCTACATGAAGATAAAAATGTCTAATGCCATACTGTAAAACATTTAAGACAAAGCAAACATATTCATGGGAAAAAAGCATTTGACGGACCCTCCACCAGAAAAGTTACACAATGCACCTTTAAGAGACCCGCCCAAAAATCTATATTCTCATTTTTGTCAAGATCACCCTCTCCTTGTACCAAAGATGTTCATTTGCGTTAAGTATGATATCTGTTCAGCCTCGGCTTTGAATAAATCTCTCTAGAACTGGCAAAGAAATCTCATAATTACTCTTAAAGCCTCCCTTGTTTGAAAATGAGAGCCCTGATGTCTTGCAGTATTTTACCGCACTGAAAAGCTCCCCTTATCTCTCCACTTTAATTTCACTTTAAATAAATACGTTGTCTGCAGTGTGTAATATAGCCCTTAGAAGCCCTGGTTGTACATGACTAA